CGCCCAGCCCTAATAGGTACCGCTCCGGCGCGAAGGTAACGGCGCTCCATGCAGTCATGCCGGCCACATGACCTTGGAGGTGTCTACGGACAACGCTGGTCTTTCGGCTTAGAAATGGAGATGAGCACCACACCCCAGAGTCAGACATGACTGGACTTAATGTCAGGGGACTACCTTTACCTTTACCTAAATAAAGTTAATAATAATAATAATAATAATAATAATAATAATAATAATAATCCAGCCTGAGTTGATTCATTGGAACCTGCTTCATTTTTTTGCATCCCATTCCAGGCTAACAGGATACTTCCAAAATGGATCCGCACCTATCTCCTTTGTAGGATCAGTGTTTCTGGATGTGGGTGGGCATGAGGGATGGGGGGAGAGCATCCTTCCCATCCCTCCAAAAAAAAAAAGAGGAAGCGATATTTTGAACAGTTCAAAGATCCTTCACCAAAATAACCTTTGGCACTGCAGCAGGTTCTACTTTGGCTTCCTGCAATTTAAATCTCCCCAGGAAAAAAACAAAGCAAAACATATGACCAAAACTTCCTCCTGGAAGGAAAGGAGGGGAAGAGGCGCCAGCGGCTTAACCCTCTCAGAGCCAGGCCAGAATTTCATCCCTACAGCAAATGGAGTTCTAGGCAGCAGTGTGCAAAGGTTTATGACATAAGCAGTCTTAAAGATGCCATAATAGCAGACTCCCCTTTCTGCAATAAAATAGAAGTGCTTCCGTACATGAGAATTCAATGTCAGTAAGTGGAATTTATTGCCTCTTGACTAAGAGACCAGCTGTTTGAGAAATTCATAGCATCCTACACGGTTCTCTACAGCTTGATAGCTTGTATTTACCATATCCGAAGCTAACCGAGGGTACAGTTGTAATGTATTTAAAAAACACAAAGTTTAAAAAACTTAGCATTATACTAAATGTCCTTTGAACACTAGCTGGCCACTTGCAGCGCCTTTGGTGTTGTTACAAGGAGGTCCTCCATTGTGCATGTGGCAGGGCTCAGGCTGCATTGTAATAGGTGGTTTGTGGTTTGCTCTTCTCCATACTTGCATGTCATGGATTCCACTTTGTGGCCTCATTTTCTAAGGTTGGCTCTGCATCTCGTGGTACCAGAGCGCAGTCTCTTCAGCGCCTTCCAAGTCACCCAGTTTTCTGTGTGCCCAGGGAGGAGTTTCTCATCCGGTATCAGCCATGGGTTGAGGTTCCGGGTTTTAGCCTGCCACTTTTGGACTCTTGCTTGCTGAGGTGTTCCTGGGAATATCTCTGTAGATCTTAGAAAACTATTTCTTAATTTAAGGCGTTGGCATGTTGGTTAATATCCGAATAGAGCAGTGCTTCTCAACCTGGGGTCCCCAGGTGTTTTTGGCCTACAACTCCCAGAAATCCCAGCCAATTTACCAGCTGTTAGGATTTCTGGGAGTTGAAGGCCAAAAACATCTGGGGACCCCAGGTTGAGAACCACTGGAATAGAGGATGGGCTGGAGATGTCACTGCCTTGGTCCTTTCATTGTTGGCTGCTACTTCCCAGCTGATATCAGATGGTGCAATACCAGCTAAACAGTATAATTTCTCCAGTGGTGTGGGGCATAGACATTTTGTGATAATGTGACATGCCTTATTAAGAGTCCATCCATTGTTTTAACATGGCGAGATGTGTTCCACACTGGGCATGCATATTCAACAGCAGAGTGCAAGGGCAGAAGTCTTCACTGTGTCTGGTTGTGATCCCCAGGTTGTGCCAGTCAGCTTTCGTATGATATTGTTTCTAGCACCCACTCTTTGGTATTTGGGTGTGCTGCAATGCTCCAGTGGGATTCCTTCCAAGGTAATCCTCAGAGCTCGAGATGCTTGTCTGTTCTTAAGGTGAAAAGCACACATCTGTGTTTTAGATGGATTAGGAATCAGCTGGTTTTCCCTGTAATAGGCAGCACATAAAGATTCAGAGAACTGGCTACCAGTATTTAAAAACTCAAAAATTACAACAGCAAAACAACAGAGAGTAAACAATCAGGCACATCAAATCACCTCTCAACAAAAAAAGATTCCCCCAGGCACTTCCAAGCCATTAAATGCTAATCAAGGTGGTTAGTTGAAACATTCACACCTAGCTCCAGCAGACAAAAGTCCTTTGTCCCACCCTGGTCATTCCACAGATATATAAACCCATTTTCCTACTTCCAACAGATCTCACTACCTCTGAGGATGCTTGCCATAGATGCAGGCGAAATGTCAGGAGAAAATGCCTCTAGACCATGGCCATATAGTCCGAAAAAACCTACAACAACTCAATGATTCCGGCCATGAAAGCCTTTGACAATACATTCAGAGAGCTTTTGTTCAACCATTTCAAAACTCCCTGCTTGGGTGGTGATGGCATGATCGTCAGAAGAAGAAGCAATAGCTAGTGCTACTATTGTTATGTATCCCATAATATTTTCTGATCCCACCCCCACAACAATGTAATGGTTCAAATATCTGCACACTACTTGTGTTGTCCACCCATGCATCTGGAAACGGAACGGAAAGCTGCCATCTCTATTCTCAAATAAATTAGTCAACTACAAAATGGCTGCTAGATTCTTTCTCAACCCCGTTTTGTAAAAATACATATAGCTTTTGCAAAATGGTTTTCATCCCCATGTATTTTCTGTAGCAAAAGAACCCCCCAAAAGAGCTTTGAAAATCTCCTTTTGGGTGTTTCAGTTCCAGGAACACTCCCAGCTAAATAAATGCAAGGTATTGGCATTTGAGGTCCTTCTGAAATTGTGTGAACAGGGCAAGTTGACTATACAATAAAAACCTAATTGAAAAGCACATTAATATAGGTGGCTGTTTTTTGCTGGAAAATTGTCATTCTTTTAATCTGACATTCAAGGCCTCACTGCAGTCTTATGCCAAGATCATATTTAATTCTGGTAGAGGTCTATAAGGGTGAGGGGCGGATGCCAGCCAAACTATGGAAGAGCTTTCAAGGAGTGCCTGGTCAATAAATCGCCATTTGGTTTGGCAGCTGAGCTATACCTAGTGCTTTCTGGCAGCTTTGGTAAAACCGAAGGTCAGAATGCTCTATGATTGTAGGTGAACTATAAACCCCAGCAACTGCAACTCCCAAATGTCAAGGTCTATTTCCCCCAAACTCCACTAGTGTTCACATTTGGGCATATTGAGTATTTGTGCCAAGTTTGGTCTATCATTGTGTGAGTCCACAGTGCTCTCTGGATGTAGGTGAACTACAACTCCAAAACTCAAGGTCAATGTCCACCAAACCCTTCCAGTATTTTATGTTGGTCATGGGAGTTCTGTGTGCCAAGTTTGGTTCATTGGTGGAGTTCGGAATGGCCCAATTCTATCATTGGTAGGGTTCAGAATGCTATTTGATTATAGATGAAATACTGTATAAATCCCAGCAACTTCAACTCCCAGATGTCAAGGTCCATTTTCCCCAAACTCCACCAGTGTTCATATTTTGGCATATTGAGTATTCATGCCACATTTGGTCCAGATCCATCATTGTTTGAGTCCAGTGCTCTCTGGTGGTAGGTGAACTACAACTCCAAAACTCAAGGTCAATGTCCACCAAACCCTTCCAGTATTTTATGTTGGTCATGGGAGTTCTGTGTGCCAAGTTTAGTTCATTGGTGGAGTTCAGAATGCTATTTGATTGTAGGTGAACTATAACTCCCAGCAACTGCAACCCCCAAAAGTCAAGGTCTATTTTCCCCAAACTCCACCAGTGTTCATATTTTGGCATATTGAGTATTCATGCCACATTTGGTCCAGATCCATCATTGTTTGAGTCTAGTACTTTCTGGTGGTAGGTGAACTACAACTCCAAAACGCAAGGTCAGTGTCCACCAAACCCTTCCAGTATTTTATGTTGGTCATGGGAGTTCTGTGTGCCAAGTTTGGTTCATTGGTGGAGTTCAGAATGCTATTTGATTATAGGTGAAGTATAAATCCCAGCAACTTCAACTCCCAAATGTCAAGGTCTATTTTCCCCAAACTCCAGTAGTGTTCACATTTGGGCATAATGAGTATTTGTGCCAAGTTTGGTCTATCATTGTGTGAGTCCACAGTGCTCTCTGGATGTAGGTGAACTACAACTCCAAAACTCAAGGTCAATGTCCACCAAACCCTTCCAGTATTTTATGTTGTTCATGGGAGTTCTGTGTGTCAAGTTAAGTTCATTGGTGGAGTTCAGAATGCTATTTGATTGTAAGTGAAGTATAAATCCCAGCAACTTCAACTCCCAAATGTCAAGGTCTATTTTCTCCAAACTCCACCAGTGTTCACATTTGGGCATATTGAGTATTTGTGCCAAGTTTGGTCTATCATTGTGTGAGTCCACAGTGCTCTCTGGATGTAGGTGAACTACAACTCCAAAACTCCAATGCCCACCAAACCTTTCCAGGATTTTCTGTTGGTCTTGAGAGTTGTGTGTGCCAAGTTTGGTTCAATTCCATCATTGGTGGAGTTCAGAATGCTCTTTGATTGTAGGTGAACGATAAATCCCAACAACTACAACTCCCAAATGACAAAAGCAACCCCCCCCCCAACCCCACCAGTATTCAAATTTGGGCGTATCGGGTATTTGTGCCAAATTTAGTCCAGTGAGTGAAAATCCATCCTGCATATCGGATATTTACATTACAATTCATAACAATAGCAAAATGACAGTTATGAAGTAGCAACGAAAATAATTTTATGGTTGGGGGTCATCACAAAATGAGGAACTGTATGAAGGGGTCGCGGCATTAGGAAGGCTGGGAAACACTGCACGAATACATCTCCACAGAGCAAAGGTGCAAAGGGTTAATGCAGGGAAGCTTTGTGGTGAGGCAAAGTCTAGCCAATGCCTTGCCCACAAAAGGATTCAGCCAACAAGCAGGGCAGCCTGGATGGGAAGGAGTTAAGGCAGGCGAGGGAGTTGAGCTGTATCTTCCTGCCCTGACAGCCTGCATCATATATTAGCCAGACCTCCGCTGGAAGTGCTGAATTCACTTTGCCTGTTGGTCTGAGAGGCTTTCTCTGGACAGGAAAAGCTGCTGCTGTCGCCGTTTCAATATACAGCTGTGTTGCTACATCTTTGTCCAGATAGGAAGGTAAGTGCTTTTTGGAAAGATCTTGCAGGGTCACTCTTTAGACAGTCACACCTGCCTTGAATGATGCACCAGGTTAGAAAGGATGCAGCCCCTACATCCCACTGTATCCAAGTTCAAGAGGATGGCAAAAGATTTCATGTAATGTTAATTGGGGGCGTTTTCTATCCATTCCAAAGTGTGTGTGTGATTCAGAATGCTGTTGCTGGTGAGTGCTTTCAAGTCATTTCTAACTTATGGCAACTTCAATGTGAACTTATCACACAGTTTTATGGAGTTGAGAAAGTGTGAGCCGTCTAAGGTTTCCCAATGGGTTTCCATGGTTGAGCAGGAATCAGAACCTGTGCTACTTGTAGAGTGACCTTTCTCGACCTGACACATTCCAGATGGGTTGGACTCTAATTCCCATTGATCCTGACCATGCCAAAAGGGGATGATGGGATTTGTGGCACAACCAGGGGCGGCTCACCCCATTACGCACAGTAAGCATTTGCAGTATAGTTGATTTTGCCCAGGGGCGCTCTTGAGGCGCTCTTGGGGGAAAATAGACCTTGACATATGTGAGTTGTAGTTACTGGGATGTATAGTTCACCTAAAATCAAAGAGCATTCTGAACTCCACCAATGATGGAATTGAACCAAATATGGCACACAGAACTCCCACGACGAACAGAAAATATATATCAGTGATTGGTTGGGGGGGGGGGGGGGGACAAAATACTGTTTGCTTACCGTTGAAAATTACCTAGGGCCGCCTCTGGGCACGAGTCTTGTAAATCTATATAAATAAAAATGTAATGTTTGTTTGTGATATTAACAGAACTCAAAAACCACTGGGGGAATTGACACCAAATTTGGACACAATACGCCTAACCACCCAATGTATGTCCTTCACTCATAAAACACCGAAAAACACAGCAGAAGGGACTTAAAAAGCCCCAAAAAGCTAAATGATGAAAAGTTAAATGACAATACAGAAAAAAAGGGAAGAAAGAGGGAGGGAAGGGGAGAAAAGAAAGAAAGAAAGAAAGAAAGAAAGAAAGAAAGGAAAGAAAGAAAGAAAGAAAGAAAGAAAGAAAGAAAGAAAGAAAGAAAGAAAGAGGGGGGAAAGAAAGAAGGAAAGGGAGAAGGAAGCATGGAAGCAAAGAGAGAAGGAAGGAAGGAAAGAGGTAGAGAAGGAAGAAAGGAGAGAAAGAGGGAGGGAAAGAAAAAGGGGAAGGAAGGAAAGTTAGAGAAGGAAGGAAGGAGAAGGAAGGAAGGAAGGAAGGAAGGAAGGAAGGAGAGAAGGAAAGAAAAAAGGGAAAGAAGGAAGGAAAGAGGGAGCGAAGGAAAGGGGGAAGGTGTAGAGAAAGAGGGAGGGAAGGAAAGAAGGAAAGAGAAGGAAGAAAAGAGAGACAACAGAAGAGAAAGAAAAAGGGGGGTGGAAGGAAAGAGATAGAGAAAGAAGGAAGAAGAGAGGAAAGACAGGAAGGAAGGAAGGAAGGAAGGAAGGAAGGAAGGAAGGAAGGAAGGAAGGAAGGAAGGAAGGAAGGAAGGAAGGAAGGAAGGAAGGAGGGAAAGAAGGAGAGAAAGAGGGAAGGTTGGCCACAGCAACGCGTCGCTGGTACAGCTAGTACTAACACAATAATGTTAATCATCATCATCATCATCATCTTTATTTATACCCCGCCACCATCTCCACGAAGGGGACACGGGGTGGCTAACATGAGGCCAAGCCCATGTACAGCAAAATAAAATACAAAACAACACAAATTTCATCACAATAAAATACATAAAATAATAAGATAAATAAATCAGCCTTTAAGGCAATGTTTCTCAACCTGAGGGACTAGACCCCTGGAAGGTCGTGAGGGGGTTTCAGAGGGATCACCAAAGACCATCAGAAAACACATATTTCTGATGGCCTTAGGAATCCCTTGGACATAGTCGTTTGGGTTGACAGCGCTCTCTGGATGTTAGTGAACTGCATCTCCACGAAATCACTGTCAATTCATCCCAAATCCTTCCAGTATTTTCTGTTGGCCATGGGGGTCTCTGTGCGGGAAGTTTGGCCCAATTCTATCATTGGTGAGGTTCAGAATGCTCTTTGATTATAGGTGAACCATAAATCCCAGCAACTACAACTTCCAAATGTCAAGATCTATTTCCCCCAAACTCCACCAGTGTTCATATTTGGGCATATTGAGTATCCGTGCCAAGTTTGGTCCAGATCTATCATTAGGTTCTTGTGGGGTTTTTTCGGGCTGTAGGGCCATGTTCTAGAGGCATTTCTCCTGACGTTTCGCCTGCATCTATGGCAAGCATCCTCAGAGGGAGTGGGGTCTGTTGGAAATAGGACAATGGGTTTATATATCTGTGGAATGGCTGGGGTGGGGCAAAGATCTATCATTGTTTGAGTCCACAGTGCTCTCTGGATGTAGGTGAGCTACAATGCCAAAACTCAAGGTCAATGGCCACCAAACCCTTGCAGTATTTTCTGTTGGTCATGAGAGTTCTGTGTGCCAAGTTTGGTATCATCGTTGGTGTATTTATTTATTTATTTATTTTGCGGTATTTGTATACTGCCTTTCTCAGCCCGAAGGCGACTCAAGGCGGTTTACAGTCAGCAACAATTCGATGCCCCAACAGACATAAAATACAATTAAAACATTTAGCATATAATATCAAAACCATACAAAACCCACTAAAACATAATAAAAACATAAATCATCAGCGTCTCCTTACTAAAATTGTTTTCCAGTCGTATTGTCCAGTTGTTCTGTAGTTCCATATTTACCTTTTACGCTGTATTTGCAAAAGCTTGCTCGAAGAGAAAGTTTTTTGACTTTTTTACAAAATGTCAGGAGGGAGGGGGCCGATCTAATATCTCCAGGGAGGGTGCTCCACAGAAGAGTTCAGAATGCTCTTTGATTTTAGGTGGACTATAAATCCCAGCAACTATAACTCCCAAAAGACAAAGTCACTCTCCCCCCCAACCCCACCAGCATTCAAATGTGGGCGTATTGGGCATTTTTTTTGCCAAATTTGGTCCAGTGAATGAAAATCCATCCTGCATATTGGATATTATTACAATTCATAACAGTAGCAAAAGTACAGTTATGAAGTAGCAACGAAAATAATTTTATGTTTGGGGGTCACCACAACATGAGGAACCATATTAAGGGGTTGCGGCATTAGGAAGGTTGAGAACGACTACTCTAAGGAGTGGTTTCCGCTCCATATAAACTAAGGATTGTGTTTCACACATGCTGCAGAGTAGAACTTTACCCATCCAGATGTCTATGGCTGTAAATCTGTCTATCTATATTGCAGATTATGGGGCCAGGCAGTATCAAAACCCCATATCCTACCCCTGTTTGATCGTAGGTTCGAATCTGAGGAGAGGCAGATGAGCTCCCTCTATCAGCTCCAGCTCCTCATGCAGGGACATGAGAGAAGCCTCCCCCAAGGATGATAAAAACATCAAAAATCACCCGGGCGTCCCCTGGGCAACGTCCTTGCAGACGGCCAATTCTCTCACACCAGAAGCGACTTGCAGTTTCTCAAGTCACTCCTGACACGACAAAAAAACAAACAAGCCCCTGTTTGATTTTGGTGCCCCTCGTACAGACTTTCCCCTGAGCTGTCCTGTTTTTCACTTCTCTTGTTCCCAGTCTGCAAACTGGAACGTGGCTTTTGGGGAGTCTTTTCCGGCTTCTGCATGTTGGTGTCCCATTTGGTCACAGCTGCCCTGTAGTTAAGATCCCACTTTGCAGGGCGTGACCCAGGGAGGAGGGCGATGGCTTGCCCCAGGCGGCCTTATTTATAGCTCTGGATTCCAGAGACAAAAGTTCAGCAGTAATTGGTGGCTTGTTTTGTGTGTCCTGGAGGACTTCCCACCCTCTTTTCCATGGGGAAAGGGTCCTCAAACTTTTTTCAGCCGTGGAGCCCTTTTTGAAGAAAAAGTTTCTCATGGAGCCCCAATAAATATAAATATAATGTAATGTACTTATATCAGACCTAGGCCATGCCAGTGGCAGATAGATGGCAAGTGTTTGTGTGAACTAATTCACACAGTGCAAAATAATAATTAAAAATACAATATTTGAAATGAAGAACAACTTTCACGAACATAAACTTAATAGTATTTCAATGGAAGACCCCCAAGGCCATCCAGTCCAAACCCCTTCTGCCCTGCAGAAAAAAACACAATCAAACAACCCAACAACCCAACAGATGGCCATACAGGGCTCAATTCAAAGTGCTGGCGTTGGCCTATAAAGCCCTAAACGGTTCTGGCCCAAGCTACCTATCCGAACGTATCTCTGCCTACGAACCCACCAGGACTCTAAGATCTTCTGGGGAGGCCCTGCTCTCGATCCCGCCTGCATCACAAGCACGGCTGGCGGGGACGAGGGACAGGGCCTTCTCTGTGGTGGCCCCTCGGCTGTGGAACGCCCTTCCCATGGACATTAGATCAGCCCCTTCGTTAATGGTGTTTCGAAGAAAACTAAAAACCTGGCTGTTTGAACAGGCGTTCGGATAAATAGTGCAATGAACGATGAATATAGGAACGGAATTTATGGATGACGAATTGGATCACGATTTTAGTTATGAGATGCTAATGTGTTATATTGATGTGTCATTATTTTGTATATTGTGCTGTTAATGGTTTTAAATATTGTATGTTGTTTCATTGACTTTTGCTCTTGTTGTGAACCGCGTTGAGTCGCCTGCGGGCTGAGAAACTGCGGTATACAAGCAAAGTAAATAAATAAATAAATAATTTATTGTAAAGGTGGTCCCAGTGGTGATCAGCACACTGGGTGCAGTGCCTAAAGACCTTGGCCTGCACTTAAAAACAATTGGCACTGACAAAATTACCATCTGTCACATTCAAAAGGCCACCCTACTCTGATCCACATGCATTATTCGCTGGTAAATCACACAGTCCTAGACACTTGGGAAATGTATTGTCGAAGGCTTTCATGGCTGGAATCACTAGGTTCTTGTGGGTTTTTTCGG